CATTTCCCTATAGAGTTAACTTTAAAAGGTGTATAAAATTAGTTCACAAAAGGCTTTTCAACTTATAGCAGAGCCATGATATTAATTGCCAAGCCTGAGTCCTAGTGCCTGTGAACAGTGAGATGCAGCTCAGGAGAGAGCAGAAGAAACCAACTCTAAGCCTCTCCCACTGGAGCAGAAGGGCAGCCCAAGAGGTTTTTTGCTGATATATAACTCCCATCAAGTGTGCTAATCTAAAGTGTATAGCTTGATGATGATTCTCCTGTGAATACACCTATGCAACCAGCATTTAGATAAAGATGAGGTTTCTTCATCCTCTTTCCCTGGTCAACACCTCTCGCCAATGTTTACTCAACAATGTTTACTTCAACACCCTCAGATTTACCTAGGAAAATGTCATACTGAGGAGTTCTTTTTGGTAACTTCCCCCCTTTATTTCTGTACTCGTTTCTCTGATGATCTTGGAAGATGTAATCCTCATGCTTTTCATAGTTCTGCCCTGATCTGTCATATCTCCCCAAGTATTCCAGGGTTCTCCCTCTTTGTCAAAACTTTCATCCTTTGGTTGATAGTTTTTCCCAAGTTGTCCACGAGCTCCTCAAGGACCAAGCTTCTGCCTTCATTCAAAGCACCTGTTAAACACAATATCTTGGGTAGGTAGGAGGAGAGAAATAACCTGGTATAAAAAACTGCACTAAGTCAGGAATGCTATGGAGTCTCATGTTCCTTCTTTGAAGTTGTCAAAATAATTTATGGGAGAGGTATGTTAAAAAGTGAAACAAAATTGCTAAGTGTTATTGACTGGATAATCACAACTATGGGGAAAATAAAACCAATAATTACCAAAAACCAATATGAAATGCACCAAAATATTAACAATGATTGTTTGGAAGGTGAAACTAGGGAAACTCTCTATTTTCTAAAACAATATTAATGAACACATACTAGTTATAATGGGGGAAGTCATATTTTTAAGAGTCTATTTATTAACCAAAATTAATTATTAATCAAAGGAAAGTCCAACAATGTGTCTGTCTAAAAGAATTGAAAAGACTTGAAGGAGGTGTACCTGGGCAGGGCAAGAGGCCTTCCCTGGCTTGACATGAGATTTCCTAAGCAAACAGTACTTTTTGCAATTCTTTCCCCAATGCCATTTTTGAATCCAAAAATGTTTCCAAAACACCCACCTGTTTCCACAACATAAAACCACTTTACAAATTGAAGACTCCCCGGACCCTAGTAATAGTAGAAATTTCCTATAGTTTACTTAAAAGCTAAAATTAGAATAAGGAACTCCATTACAAAACACCTTAGATGTTATCTTTGTATAGGCAGGAAGAGGGGTCACTGAGCAATTTTCAGAATTTTGCAAGTCAAAATTGATTTTGTGGAAAACATCTAGAAAATCAGTTGCCTCAATTTCACTTTATGTGTATAGGAATAGCCTTTGTCTTTCCAATTTTGCATTAAAACTCTTCTGTATTGACAACATTCACCTGAACTTTTCAACAATGCAGGCATCCACACTTCATGTGTTGACCATATAAACGTCATTACTACTCTTGATAGGAGTAGTCTTAAATCCAAACATATCTCAATCTGTTTTTTTTTTTCTTTAACTTATGCTTTTTTGCTTCTCTTGATTATTCTAGCACACAAAAACTAAATTTTCTCAACATTTATATTGGCAATAACTCAGTCTCAAGACAAAACCAAAATAACCATGTGTTTTTAAATGTCATTCTACATACTTATGGCGGTCATTACTTTGATTTAAAAAAAAAGAAAATATTTTCTGCTTGCATTAACGTAATCATACCCCCTTTTAAATTCTTAAGGATTGTTTATGAATTTATCTCTGATCATAGAGGAAAATGCCCATAAGGCCTAGTCTCTTTTTTATCTTTTCAGGTGAGGAACAAATCCAAGGTTTGTTTACTCAATTACATAATCTCTGAAATAATAAAAAAAAAAAACATTTCCGGTTAACACTGAGCCTAGAAGATTTTTTTTCTTGACTGAAGCCAATGCAATTTATAAAACCTCTTCTCATGCAACAATGATAATTTAGTTGGTTCGTTTTATAGACAGAATAAATAAGTATTAATAAGCATTTACAGAATAATAATTTAATAATTCTACTGTATTAATTATTCATGTTGATAATTTTTAATACCACCTAAATTTCCCATACCATACAAATTTGCAGAATAAGAAATAAAAACATAAACAGACAACACTGTGGAGTATCATTAATGGATTCTCCCTAGTTTAGGTAGAAAAATCTATAATTGAAAGAGCAACTATGAACAGAATGCAAATCCTGCAATTAGCAGATTATTCAAAGAAGCAGTCAATTTCAAATGAACTAGTGTAGACTATAAGAATACAGAAATGGGAAATTATATAAAAGAGGAAAAATTTTAAAAAGGAGATAATAAGCAGGTTATATTAAGTAATTCTGGCCCAAGGTTCAGTCATTACCTTTGTGGGAAATGGCTGGTTATCAAGTGTGCAGACACACAATGGGGCTATCAGCCCTTTGTCATTCACTGTGTAAATGCATGTACTTGTATATAAATCATGCATGATTTATTTCATCTGGTGTGGAGATTTTCTTCAATTAGTTTTCTTTATAATCTCTCAAAGTAAAAGAATCTTTTCAGGCATTTTTAAGGAGAAGCACTAAAAATAAGTAGACCCAACAAATATCCATAGATACTAAATTAGTTAGTTTTTCATTACTGTAACAAATAAGTGAGATAACTTAAAGAGAAAAGATTTATTCTGGCTCACAGTTTAGAGGTTTTAGTCCTTGATCAGTTGACCCCACTGCCTGCGGCCTATGGTGGCACATCATATTGGAATCTCACAGTAAAGCAAAATCCGTCACCTGGTGTCAGAATAGCAAAAAATAGAGGAAGGGCCCTGGGTCCCACTATCACCTTCAGGGGCACATCTCAGATGACCAGATGACCTCCCTCTAGACTCTACCACTTAAAGTTCCCATCATCTCCCATAGTGCCAAGTGGGAACTAAGCTTTCAACACACAGGTATTTGGAGAACTTTCCAGACACTATCCTGGTTAACATACCATGTCCAGCCCAAATCTTCCCACTGTAACTATATGTCAAAAAACTCAACTAGCCAAGCACAGTGGCACATGCCTGAGGCTTAGGAGGTTTGCAGGAAGATCACAAGTTCAAAGCCAGCCTCAGCAATTTAGCAAGACCCTGTCTCAAAATAAAAAATAAAAAGGGCTGGGGAGGGACTGGGGTTGTAGCTCAGGGGCTGGGGTTATAATTCAGGGTTCAATCCTCAACACCACATAAAAATAAATAAAATAAAGGTGTTGTATCCATCTACAACTAAAAAAAATTTTTTTTTAAAGGCTAGGAATATAGCTCAGGGATAAAGTGCTTCTGGGTTCAATTCCCAGTACCAAAAAAAAAAAAAAAAAAAAAATTTACTAAAATTGACAGAGCTGATTAAGTAACAACACTCTGTGAAGTGGGGGGCCACACTAAGAATCAATTTTTGCAGCAGCTAATACATTTGTTGTCAGAACTTAGTAATGGCACTTTTGTCTTTTCATCTGTGAAACAAGATTAATAGCTCTATCCTATAGGCCAAACTCTTGAAAAACTAAATAGTAAAAGGAATAGAGAATTTTATTTTAATATTTTAGGTAAAAAATTCAAATATTAGTAAAGATGAAGCAAACATAATGGCATTATTCTATTTAAATTTTGGCATAAAGAAATAACATTTCATTCTAGATTAAGAAACAAAATTAAGCCTTATAGAACAAGGTCATATTTTACTGTTTTCCCTGTTTAACCAGGAAAGGAAAGGATGGATGGATGGATGGATAGATAAATAGATAGAATTAAAACATGAGTGTCTGGGGGATAGGAGACAAATTTCCTGTTCAAGAGACCTCCAAATAATTTATGTACATGCTGTGTTCCAAAGAAGAGGATGTCCAACCCCTCACTTCTAAATCAGACTACATATAAAGATGTCCTCCCAAAGAGTACAGCAGGGAAAGGGATAAGAGGGTATCATTACAATGGCAAAATCTGACAAATAGTGTTCCATCAGGTAATCAAAGTGAACATCAGTCATCATAAATTGTGTTGATAAGAACATGCTCCTGATATGATATACTCTTTCTCTGAAAAAAATATTATTCCAATCTAATCATCAGAAAAATATCAGAAAAGTTTTAATAAAGGGGCATCCTACAATATGCTTGACCAATGCTTCTCAAAACTTATCAAGAATATAAAAAATAAGCAGGGCATGGTGGCACCAATCTGTAATCCCAGCAACTTGGGAGTTTGAGACAGGAGGATCACGGATTCAAAGCCAATCTCAGAAACTTAGCAAAGCTCTAAGCAACTTTGTGAGAGCCTCTCTCAAAAGAAAAAAGAAAAAGGGCTGGGGATATGGCTCTGTGGTTAAGCATATCTGGGTTCAATTCCTGATACCAAAGAAAGAAAGAAGATGAAAAATAAGAAAAAGCATTAGAAACTGTTACCTCCTTTGCTAGCAGGTAATTGAGAATAATTATCAGTAGTACTTTTTACTTATGGTTATGGTGGCCTCCATACACACTTGTGGTCTTTTCTGATATTATCAAGCAATCATGCATAAGTAGCCTTCCTTTATAACCTCCTGGCTTTATTTACCTGTTGGTAAGGTTGACACAAGTAACCCTTATTTTTATTTTGACAAATTTTACAATTTTTTACATTTCTTCCTTTCATTTTCTGAAAACATCAGTGATCAACAATCTTATCCATGTTGATTGTCCATTGCCAGGATTGACCTGTCCTAGTTGTTGGTCTGATCTGGTCCAACATTGCCTGTAAGGCCAGCTACTCAGAATGCCAAGGCCAGTCTTGTCAATTTAGAGAAACAATGTCTCCAAATAAAATACAAAATGGACTGGTGATGTAACTCAGTGTAAAGTGCCCCTGGGTTCAGATCCCAGTACCAATAAAGAAAATAAGTAAGGCCGCCCCTGGCAACGCGGAGAGCGGAGTCAAGAGGGAGGACGAGTTGGAGTATGAATCTGTGCTGTGTGTAAAGCCGGACGTCAGCGTCTACCGGATTCCACCCCGGGCCTCCAAACGCGGTTACAGGGCATCTGACTGGAAATTAGACCAACCTGATTGGACCGGTCGTCTCGGAATTACTTCAAAAGGAAAGATTGCCTATATCAAACTTGAAGATAAAGTTTCAGGAGAGCTCTTTGCTCAGGCACCAGTAGAACAATATCCTGGTATTGCTGTGGAGACAGTGACAGATTCTAGCCGCTACTTTGTAATTCGGATCCAGGATGGTACTGGTCGAAGTGCGTTCATTGGCATTGGATTCACAGATCGGGGAGATGCCTTTGACTTTAATGTTTCCTTGCAAGATCACTTCAAGTGGGTAAAGCAGGAATCTGAGATTTCCAAAGAATCTCAGGAAATGGATACTCATCCCAAGTTGGATCTAGGCTTCAAGGAAGGACAGACCATCAAGTTGAGTATTGGGAACATTACAACCAAGAAAGGAGCTGCTTCTAAGCCCAGGACTACAGGAGCTGGGGGCCTAAGTTTACTTCCTCCTCCCGCTGGAGGCAAAGTCACTATTCCCCCACCATCTTCCTCAGTTGCCATCAGTAATCATATCACTCCACCACCCATTCCAAAATCTAACCATGGAGGTAGTAATTCAGATATCCTTTTAGATTTGGATTCTCCTGTACCTGTCACAACAACAGCACCAGCTCCAGTTTCTGCAAGCAATGACTTGTGGGGAGACTTTAGTACTGCATCCAGCTCAGTTCCAAACCAGGCACCACAGCCATCCAACTGGGTCTAGTCTTGAATAGCATTGCAAGACAGTAAGGACAGACTTGAAGAATAAAAATGATGTTGAGGGCACCAATCTGTGAGGGAGGTTAGGAACCCCTTCCCTCCCCCAAACCAAAATTAATGGACAATCTTCTTCATAGCTTTTCCATTATATTCAAGTTGATTTATGTCACTCTTCTATGTCATTACTTGCTATACAGCCAAGAGAGTATCTGTTATTTCCTGGTGATTACCAATGCAGGAGAACAGTAGATCTTAACTATACTTGTGGCTGGCTATGCAGGGTTCAAAAGACCAGTGTCTTTTTGAGGGGAAATGACCTTTAATCCGTAAAATTTTTCTCCATCTTTTAAATTCTTGAACTTATTTTAGAATCATCTCATGATCCTTGTGTGCCTCTTTGTGAAACCCTATTTTACAATTTCAGGGGAGACAAAGCCTTGAAACTTTCTTTTCCACTAACCCAAGACTCTAAAAATGGACAGGCTGACCTCAGTATTTACAGATTCAGAATTTTGATAAGGGTATGTTTGGAGAAAGATGGGTATCTTGGGTCTCTTCTGTATAGCCTCCAGGCTTGTCCTATTCAATGAACGTCCAGCGCTAGGTGCAGCTCCATCGCCCTCTTGTGTGTTTACATGTCTTTTCCTATGATAAGAGGGTTGTATTGGTGGCATCCCTACTGTTGTGTTTATTGAATAGTGCAACATCTTTGACATCTTTGGATGTTTCTGGGATGGAGGAAGTTCAAGGGGCTGTGCTTTCCAAGTTATATTCCATAGATGTGTTTAATTTCTTGCAGCTCCACCTCGTTGCTGCATTTGAAGCACAGCATTAATTTATGTTCACCCCTTTATTTGACCTAATTTGAAGAGTTGTGTTTTTAACCTGATCTGTAGAACAGAGAGGTTGAAAGCACTTAAGTCTTATTCAGTACCCACATTGCCTTGCTGCCTGGGTATCTGACCCCTTTCCATAAGCATTTTTTTTTCAATCCATCTGGCTCTTCAATAGAAAGCTGCTATTACATATATTGTCACTTATGAAGGATGTTAGAAAGTCACAGCTTTATTGTGACAGTTTTTGTCTTGGACTTTGATACCCGCTAGCTAGGGTATCTTAAAAGCAAGTTGCTCTCCCTTCACTTTCCTTTCCCTCTGCCCTGCCATTCCTTTTACAATGCTGTGAAGACAGTTCACCTCCTCGGATGAATGGGCACTACCTATTTTGTTTGTTAAAGGGCAATTTTGAGAATTAGATGGGAGGATGTAATTACTTCCCTTAGCACCTATTTGGAGATATACATTCTGGCTGAAGGGGGATCCTTATGTTTAGTTTGAAAATGTATTGTTTCTCCTGGATTCCATTCTTTTTTTTTTTTTTTTTTTTTTTTGAGAGAGAGAGAGAGAGAGAATTTTTTAATATTTATTTTTTAGTTCTCGGCGGATACAACATCTTTGTATGTGGTGCTGAGGATCAAACCTGGGCCGCATGCATGCCAGGCGAGCATGCTACCGCTTGAGCCACATCCCCAGCCCGTTTCCATTCTTAACTCTTTCTAACTTTGGGTCCATAATTTTCATTGCTTCCCCTTCCAGGCAGCTCTATTCTTGCAGAGCCATGGCAGGACATTTTAAAATTCCAATAGAAAACACTAAAAAGAAAGTCTGTAGAATCACTAGTGACTAACATTGGGAACCTATTTTCTCAATCTTCCTCCATGTTGTGTTCTTTGTATTCTCAAGATGATAATATATTATGTATTTGAATTGCTGAAAAATTGAAAATGAAGTTTAAGATATATGTATATAAAGCGTATGCTGTATTGGTGCAATAATGGTAATTAAAAATATGGAAAATGAAAAAAAAGAAAATAAGTAAGTAAATAAATAAATAAGATGTGCAAAGGTCAATAGATTTAACATAGATGAAAGGTTAAAAGCCATTTCATGTAAACTCTACAAAGCCAGCCTAGGAATTATTTTAAAGATGTTCAGTAAAAAATTTTAAATTAGGCATGCCAATCAAAATATTTTTCTAAAAGAAAAGAAATTATGAAAACAAGCCATAAAAAAAAAGACAGAGGGGAAAAGTGAAGGATCGTGGCAAATTTCCCATCAGAAATGGTACAGCAAGAGATAGTAAAATGACATCATCAATGCACTGTAAGAAAAGAAAAACAGGAATCTGATATTCTAACCTCAATGAAAATAGCTTTCAAAACTGAAGGGAAAATAACTTCATCAGACTTACACAATCTGATGCAGTTCATCACTAGCCCACCTGCACTAGAGGGAATCTGGCTGTGCACTACCAAATAAAACTGATCGATTCATGTTGCATTTCACTTCCCAGACTGGTGACCTAAAGCAGGTATTGATAATGCCAAAACAAAGAGCAAGATGAGTTGAGTTTCCTAAATTTCATGAACTCAGACCCATACAGGTTTATAACTGGAATGGGCAGAGGACATCTATTCTGATCAAAACATATTAGGAGTTATCCAGTCCCAGCTCAGGTAGTGCTGTCATTTCCGTTATTCAGTAAACATCTGTTTAAAAAAAAATAGCTATGCTGATCCAAAAGTGAATTTACCAGGAAAAGGCCATAAAATAATTACCTTAAGCTCAATTATTTTAAAAGTATAGGAGAAATCCCTGCCAAAAAAGGGGAGCAGCCATGGAAACCTCCACCAAAACTATTCCTAGGACTCCTGGGAGCAGATTATCTTGATGAATTAGAACTGAATTTTGCCTACTGTTGTCTCTGGGATACATTTTGTGAGAAGCTTATCTGGAGCAAGAGTCAGTTCTAACGAAATGTCTGGGGTCTGGTAACATACAACTTATGGAAATTCCTTTGCAGAGAGTCACCAGGTATTCTGAAAACCTAAACACCAAGAGGTGTGGAACAGCTCAAGATGCAGGAGAGGCTGCCTTAGCATCTCCTGTTTTCCTCCAACCCAGAAACAAGATGTATTCTTCTTATGTGGTTCCCTATGAGACTGCTTCACAACATGGGTAAGTTCTGATACCTCCATGAAGATGCTAGTCGCCTAGGTCCCAGAATGGGACCCTCATGGATATAAAGTTCTAATAGGACTGTCGCTGTAGCCATCAAATCCTTAGCCTCTATCAAGCCAGTTATCACAAACACAGACTAATAAATTTATAGACAAGAGAATATGTAAAGCAATTACTGTAAACCAGAGTGCATTTTTTGACCAGAGCAGAACTAGACCAGAGATCCCAAGGAGTGTGAGAGACCATGAGATCAGGTGTGGTCTAAAGATTAAAGAGATCTCCAGCCATTTCTTTAGCCTGGGGATCTACTGTGGGTCCCTTACTGCACAGGTGCCATGTTAACAACCTCCTCAACAGGCATTCCTTCCTAGTTGGGACCCATTGAGTACTCACCAATTCCAAAGGGCGGTCTTTTTCCCCACATTTTTGGGGGTGCTGGACATTGAATTCAGGGGCATTCCACCATGAGCCACATCCCCAGCCCTATTTTGTATTTTATTTAGAGACAGGATCTCACTAAGTTGCTTAGCACCTCACTTTTGCTGAGGCTGGCTTTGAACTCATAATCCTCCTACCTCAGCCTCCCAAGCCACTGGGATTGCAGGTGTGCACCACTGTGCCTGGCTTTTCCACACTTTTAAAAAATATATTTTTAGTTGTAAATGGACATAATACCTTTATTTATTTATCTTTATATGGTGCTGAGGATCGAACCCAGTGCCTCAAATGTGCCAGGCAAGCACTCCACCACTGAGCCACAACCCAGCCCCCATGTCCCACATTTTTAATTGGTGCATTATAGTTGTACATAATGATAGAATTTGTTGTTACATATTTTACATGCGCACGATATAACAATATAATTTGGCCAATATCACTCCCCAGCACTCACCTCCTCTTTCTCTATCTTCCACCACTTGGTCCCTTTCCTTTACTGATCTCCCTTTCTTTTTTTAGAGCTTTATAGTTATGCATAGTAGTTGGGTTTATCCTAAAAAAAAAAACTCATACATAAATGGATATTGATTTCAGTTCATGATCCTTCTCCCTTTTCCCTCTTCCTTTTTCCCCCTATCGTCCCCCCAACCATTTTCCTTCTACTAGATTTCCTTTCACTTATATATTTATTTGTATTTGATTGGTTCTTTGTTATTCTATCCTTCCCTGCCATTTATTTTATTCCAGCTTCCATATATAAAAGAAAACATTTGAACTTTGAGTTTCTTAAGTTTGGCTTAGCATGACATTATCCATTTCCATCCATTTACTGGCAAATGCCATAATTTCATTCCTTTTGATAGCTAAGTAGAACTCCCTAGTGGTCAATCTTTAATTTTTTCTTTTCTTGGTTGGGGGGCAGTATTATGGTTAGATACAAGATGTCCTTCAAAAGCTCTTGTCTGAGACAATGCAAGAAAGTTCAAAAGTGAAACAATTAAGTTATGAGAGTTTTAACCTAATCAGTACATGAATCCCCAGATAGGGATTAACAGGGTGGTCAATGGGGACACGCTTTTGGGGTATATATTTTGTTCTTGGTGAGAAGAGTTCTTCCTGATTGTCATGTCCTGGGCTGCTTTTACTAGGGCACACCATTCCACTATGATGTTCTTCCTCACTTTGGGCACAGAGCAATGGAGGTGGCTGAATGGACTGTGACTTCTGAAACTGTGAGATCCAGATAAACTTTTCCTCCTCTAAAATTGTTCTTGTCAGGTCTTTTGATCAAAGTGGTGAAAAAGCTGACAAAAATAGGGGGCTTATGGGCTGGGGTTGTGGCTCAGTGGTAAAGTGCTCTTCTAGCATGCATGAGGCACTGGGTTTGATCTTCAGCACCACATAAAAATAAAATAAAGATATTGTGTCCACCTAAAACTAAAAAATAAATATATAAAAATAGGGGGACTATCAAGAATTAAAGAAAAAAGAAGGCAAGGCTCCCCAAATATTAAGAAGCAATAAGCAGTGGAAAGGAAGCAGATGT